AATTAAGTAAGGTATTTGCAAATTTTCAATAAAATTACTAATTCACTATATTACGTTACTGGCTTAAAATTAAAATTGCCATTCGTATCACCTGCTGAAGTAACCGATGAAACAATAATTACAAAAGGTTAGACCTACCTTCGCTTATTGATAGCACGGGCGAGGCACATTCCATCCTCGAGTCGCTGCTATCCGAAGATATACGACGAGAACGCTTTTTGCGTTTGCGCAATTTCTTTTCGATTTTTCTCATCTTGCGCCTAATGTATTCATCACAGTCTTCGTCACTACTCCTTTTCGGCATTTTCTTTGCAAGGCGGGTAGAATTTGAATTTACGTGTAGACTAGCGAAGCACTAAAACACGAATGAAGTTTGAACGAGCGACCGTTATGACGATTGCTTGGGGATACCAGTTTAGGATTTTATTTTACCTGTGTTATTTTTTTATTACTTTAAACTATTGTGTATGATTAGCGAGTAGTTGCACGAAACTACAATTATTCTTCTAATTTCGAGGAATGAAGCTCGATGTATAATTGAGAGACTCCGCTATGAACTTGAACCTTAGATTATTTATTTGCATGTCACATAGTGAAGTCAGGTCTAAAAACTTCACAGATCACAGAAACTAAAGGTGAAGTATATCTCTATGAAAAACTCAATAGGTACTTTAAGACGTCATGATGGTGGGAAGTGACTGGATGCGGGCAGCGCTGGCTGTACGGTCGTTGTGAAAATCAGTGGGGGACAGACCTTTATGTGAGTCACACTTTTGGTGGAAAGGATCAAAAAAATCCAAAAATTTTACTTCTATAATTCTTTAAAGCATGCGTTTAAAAATCCCATGGTAGGTATGCAGGTATTTAACTCGGAACGTACGTGTATTTAACTAGGGAAGACATTAACTTATTTTCCTGGTTATAGTTTTAACAATAAAGGCATAACTTAAAAATTGTACACTAGTACAATAAATTCAAAAATCTTGTGCAACTTGCACGTTTAATTTGATTGTGTTTTAAATCATTAGATTAAATATCACAGATTAAAGTCTAAATGTTATCAATCTGTAGTGTTGAGTCATTAAATTACTGAAATTAATAATGAACGTGATAAGATTTGACTATCCCATTTATATTAGCGAGTGCCTGATGTTTGTTATTAGACGCTGTCTGTGTATGAATGAGTGTAGTTTATTATTAGTGTTTTAATTTATTTTAAAATGATCTTATTATTTAAATTATTTTTGAGTGCACTCTGTATAGTTGTTGTAAATTCAAACCGCAACAATGTCATGGATTGGGATCTTTATGAAGAAGTTATTGATTTGCAGCAATGTGGAGAACAACTGGCCTATATACAAAACCATACTTTGCTAATGAGTCGATGTAAGTTTTAAATAATTTAAAATCACTATTCAACTATGAATGCTAATAATAAACAAGTCATCGAAGTAATTTATTTCAACTGTAGCATTTTTTTTCTGTATTCTTTATGTAAAATAATCATATTATTATGGATTTAAATCACTCACATTCCTAATAAAAGTTAACATCCATCAACATACCAAAACTTAAGTCTTTCTTACTAGATTATAATAACTCCTTACGATTTTTTACAGTCATTGACGCCAGCTTCAGATTTCCCCCTAGAAGTATTCTCAAAGGCAACACGAGAGACACGGGGAGCTATTTCCAATGTCTCGATATCAGTCATCAGACAACAGACATGGACATCAGAGGAAAGTACTCTGTTGTACGAATACCCTTACAACAAGACGACTTCGAGTTCCCAACTTTACCTGATATACCTGAATGGCCTGAATTACCCCCTTTACCGAATATCACCTGGCCTATAATTCCAAATCCAAATAGCACTGAAGAAGAATCAGGTGAATCCACTGAGGAACTGTTTGCCAAATTCCATGATTATCAGATGATGCGGTATGGTGCGCATTTTTTGTTGGGAGACGGCATCGAACCAAGGTTAGTTTGCTTATTAACTGTAATCCAGTTTCCAGTATACCTACCTATCATGTAGTCTTTCAGAGTTTAGGTCTGAGAAACCTGTATCAGACTTTTTAAGTCACTAAAGATGTCTGAAATGACACTATCAGATCAACAGTTGATCTTAACCTCTTTTATATTTACACTAGCGGCCCGCCCCGGCTTTGCATGGTTGCAATGGAATTTCCCGGATTTTCTCTTCTATAATATACATGTTTTATACCCATAAACATTCCTCTTGAGTCACTCTATCTATTGAAAAAACCGCATCAAAATCCGTTGCGATGGTTCTAAAGATCTGAGCATACATAGGGACAGACATCGTAAAGAGACTTTGTTTTATACTATGTAGTGAAGTTTCAAGCAATTAAACGGAACCTTAGACTTACGAATAAGATTTGAAAAATCAGATTAATAACTTAAATCTAAATAAATAATGATGATTTCAGAGCTGCAGCGGATAGTCCTTTAGCTGGGATGCAAATGGAACTGGCTATGTGCATCCCAAAAGTGTGCACATCAAAGTACGCTTTGGATTTCGTGACTTACAATGCAACTAGCAACTTGACCATGACTGAAGCTTTCGTCCGACTTCCAAATGACAAGCCGTGGGTAGCTGCTGATTACGTGGCAATGTAAGTATTAAAATCAAAATTCGAATCAAATGAAAAAAAATAACATTTTTACACTATCGAGATTCATCGTTACAATATTTTGCTGATTCATTAACTAAATTTTATTTCAAAAGTATTATCTCCTTTTAGCACCTGCATGGTTTTAAAATTCCGAGACAGATTAATAAATGGTGGTGTTATCTAAAGTTTGAGGATAATTTTATTGTTTTGATTTGATTTGATAAGTTCAATACTATTACATATTCTGTGGTTCAATCTTATTTTACTATTGAAAAGGGAACATGCTGCAATGGTTGCTTATCCATATAAATATGTATAAGAATTAGTCTATACCTACCATAATATAAGCTCATTATTTTGTTTAGAAGTTATTTAGGTTTTTTTTCTTTTTACAGAGTTATATTCTCCATAATTGGTCTTTTGACTGTGTTGAGCACTGGATATGATGTCCGACATACAATACTACTTGAAAGAGGTAAGATATGAAAATCATACAGAAAAATAACTATCAAGAACAAAATCATAATAAATAGAACCTCTATTGCTTTAAAAATTGAATTTCCCAATCGGTTTAGGAAATAATATTTAGTATTTTATCATCAAAGATTATCTAAAAATTAATTGGAAATTCTTATTTCGTGTAAATTATTATCGTTAAAGATTAAAATTATGATTCACTTGCAAAAATTTTAAGAAGAATAGAAAAATTGCTGTAAGAACTTGGATGCCACCATAGTATTGTTTATGGGAATAATTCTACGTTTTTTTTATTTATAGATCCAAAGAGAGCCAATAAGATCTGCACACTATTTTCTGTCTACACTAACACGAAAAACTTTTTCGTTTTCGCTTCGAATCCCAATGCGATTACTTGCCTTGATGGAATCCGCTCCTTCGCCATGATGTGGGTCATCGTGGGACACACTTTTGTCACACAAGTGACTTATATTCCAGAGAATCCTTTGGATATACTTGAAGTAAGTAGCAGATATACTACCAAGAAGTTTATGTAAAATTCTTATTCAAACTTTCCCACATTTGCTCCCGCGTGACTTTATTGTATTTGAGATCTAAAATTTAGCTACTCGTGCCTATACTTTGCTTGTTTATTCATTCATCAGTGTGATTGAAAGCAGGATTTTACATATTTTATGAGATTTATTAAAATTTTGCATCTTTGTTTTAGTTTATGAAGTCATTTTGGGGCTTATGGATCACTAGTGCAACCATCACCGTAGACACATTCTTCATGATCAGCGGTTTGCTTATTGTCTACACGACAGCAGCAAAAGTATCAAGAAGTAAGTTGAATACACGTTTTCTGTTGTTTCGTAGTTTGTGACGTATGTTGATAATCATCTCCGTAAATTGATTTTGTGATATCTGGCGAAGACTAAATTATTTTCGAATCAAGGTAGATTTTAAAGATTTAGTGTTTAAACTGTAATTTGTTCTTTAAATAAAATCTAAAATTTCTAAGCAGGCAAATCTGGCAATTCAAGGCATGTCTTATCGTCACATCTTTTTTTGTCTCCATCTACCACTTCATCAATATTTACCTAAACTATCACTTGACTAATTTTTAATCTTTTCTTCCAGGATCTTTGATAAGAAAAATCCACCTCTTCTACCTTAATCGTATTCTGCGTATGTTCCCAATATTAGCAGCTATGGTTCTGATCGAAGCTTCGTTCCTTCATAGAACCACAGACGGTCCATACTGGAACGTGATGACCACGAACGTCAACGATTGTAGAACGAATTGGTGGAGTACTTTGCTGTTTATACAGAATTGGGTCAATCCTTTGAACCAGGTGAGTTTTGAAATTCTGTAGTCGTGTTTACTCTTGAAAACATAAGAAGTGTGTCTAATATTTTCTTATCTCAGTAGTCTGAGCAGTCACCCAGCAAGTTAAAGGTTGTAGATTTAAATCCCACCGCAGAAAATACTTCAAGTACAAAACATTAAAACTCCAATTTTTTTTCAGTGCCTGTACCACACCTGGTATCTTGCCGTGGACATGCAACTACATATTGCATCTCCCATCATATTGTTCTGGATCTTGGGACAGCGTTCCTTCAGTGCCTGGTGCGCCATGGTCGCATCTCTCATCGCGGCAATTGTTGGAGCCACAACGTACAACTTTATCAACAATTTCCAATCTGCCGTTATTCCTTTAGGGTATGTATTATTAGTATTAGGACGTCCACTGCTGAATATAGGCCTCCCCCAATGCTTTCAATGTTGCCTGGTTGGTAGCGTCCTGCGTCCAGCGCCTTCTTGCTACCTTTATGATGTCGTCGGTCCACCTTGTGGGTGGACGTCTCACGCTGCGTTTTCCGGTACGCGGCTTCCACTCCAAAACATTGCTGCCCCATCGGCCGTCAGTTCTGAGTACTATGTGCCCCTTGCCACTTCAGCTTGCTAATCCGTCGTACTTGTATAGTCCACATCAAAATAATAGTTTAAGTATTGTTAGCGTTACTTCCTTTTGCAATCAACGATTCTGTATCAATTCTGTGGCTTCACCAACTTGTTAGAGAAATGCCAGTTTTTAATATCTCGGACTATAGATTGACAGACTTCTTGTTCTGATACAAACTAGGTACTTTACTGTCTCCATCTATTACAGACGACCTGCTGGAGATTTACCTGTTTACTTGAGCAGTTATTACTTCCACACATTAAACCGAATTTCGCCATTCATCATCGGAATGATGGTTGGGTACGTGCTTCACCTGTATCGGGGGAAGACGGTCCGGATGCCAAAGGTATGTTTGAGTTATATTATAGTGAACAATTCATTCATTGATCCATCCAATGTGGGATAGGCTTGGCCACGGTAATACTAATACCGTGGCTTGGCGTCGTCACCGTCATCATCATCACAATTGCCACTGCAGACACTTCTATTTTTCCAAAAGCAAATGGAAGACTTGGTCCAGTTATTTGTCCTACTTGACAGGCTTATAAGGACTTCGTAACGCTTAATGAATATAAGTATAGGCCTTTATGAACCGACATAACTACGAGCTGTGGGTAGGTACAAGTACAGATAAAAATTGATCTGTACGATTCAATAGGATATTCAGTTTTATGTGTCATCAAACAATGAATAAGTTTAAACTAACCGTAAACCGTAATCTTAATCTTCTAATCAATGTTTACATTGTGCTTCCAATAAACGATATAGTTTCTAAAACTAAGTACCTAGCATTAGAAGCTCGTGAGTGGCATTAATTTTATCAAATTTCTCATAAAATTGATCCACGTGCCAAAATCTATATCATAATGGCCGATTTATGTCATAATCTGATAGATTGTGTAATGGATAAGAATAATAAAATTCAATATAATCATACTCGTACCTATCTAATAGATGGAGATATAATATTTGAATGTTAGTTTAAAGGAAACCATAAATATCTCAATTACGTATAAGCCCGCAGATTATTAAGGCCCAAAACAGACGGTGAAACGCAACTGCAACTGCTAGTTACTTTTGAGTTGCATCTAAGTTTCTGCCATAGCGTCCGTTGAGAGACCACACGTCATGACGCGACCAGTTTGAAAGTTTCAAACTGGTTTCATAATGCAACTCAAAAGTAACTAGCAGTTGCAGTTTCGTTGCAGTTGCGTTTCACCGTCTGTTCTGGGCCTTACTCTTAAGTTCCCAGATGAATATGTAGATTATGTACATGTTAATTAGTAAAATCCTCCATTTGCATCTGGAAAATTAGAGAGTCGTGCACCTGCGGCGGAGACTGAACTACCTGAGGATGATGATGTTAGTTAGTAGAATGATATTATTTGTTCTAAGAGATCGCAATTTGAAGCTTTACACAATATTAATTTAACACTAGCTATTCTAGCGAACTTCGTACCGTCAGTAAAAAGTTGTCTTAACTTATCTATAAAATCGCAATATTAATTTCTGAAGGCAGCTTTTGTTTAACATTTTTTAATTTTCCAGGCATTAGCTGGTTTCCTCTGGCTCGTAGCAGCTGTAGTGTCATTCATGATCATCTTCACCACGTACTTCAACATCCAGCCTGACTGGGACAACCAGCTGGCTGATAACATCATCAACTCTTCGATTAGACCAGCCTGGGCTGTTTGCATTGGTTGGCTGGTCTTCGCGTGTAAGAGCGGCTATGCAGGTGAGTTGAATTTCTTGGTTCAGTTTTTATAAGTGGCAACAGTGTGTTATAATATCAATAGTATGATGTTCTTCACTTTTGTGGTCACTTAACTGATGGAAGTTTCTTACCATGTAACTATCAGTTAGTATTATATCCGTTTGCCCAAAAAAGTATAGTATACATGCTACTTTTATTGTGCTGATTTTTCCATCGTCGGATAACTTTTAAACTGAAGAATAAGTTTGGGACATTGACAATTTCAGTATGGAAAATATGTCAAAATGACAAGTTTATTCTTCAATTAAAAATTATCCGGCGATGGCTAAATCAGCCCTTTTTGACACAAATCTATACTAATATTATAAAGCTGAAGAGTTTGNTAAGATGTATGCACTCGGCATATTATTTTTTTCAATTGAATGTTCATCCCAGTGAACAAAATCAAATGAAGGGTTAATGCGAAAAGAACATATTTAGTTTTTCACCCTCGGTAACATTTGTCATGGAATGACCCTTTATAGTTCACCTGTGCCCACGATAGTAGCCTTTCCCCAAAATACTCAAAAAACATCGCGTGACTGACACCACCCTCGATTGCCACCCTCCGAAAGTCAACAGGTGTCGTTCCATTGAATAATTAAAGACAACACCGACGCGGGCGTTTCCTTGCTTATTCTGGCATCATTATCCTATCGTGACTTCACGAGGAAAATAAGTAGGCTGGCTGCACAGACTACGCGTACGCAATATAAAACTTACGCCCGTATTCACAAACAATAAGGACATTAAGGACTCACAGTGCGCGTGGACGCACAGGGTGACACGAACAACCAACCAATCACAGAGCTCTATTCAATGCTGTGCGGTCGATTTGCTGCTTCACTTAAGCAAGCATCGTTTGTGAATACGGCCGTTAATATATTTTTTGTACACAAATCAAAGTCTTTTATGATACAGAAACTATGAATGATTTCATCGCGTTTTCAGATCTTACATGACGTGTTCAGCGGAATTACTTATTTATTCAACCTTGGAATTGAAATTCGTATGATAAAATTACAATGCATTATATTCAGACTACGAGTATTTGAACAAAGCAAAGTTGTTCAATATCCGCTGTTTCGTGAATTATCGCCAAATAAGAAGCTGGAGTTGGCCTTAATATCGGAACAGTAAATAAAAAGGCACAAGGCCAAAGCTCTTTCCTTGCTAAAGCAAGTTGTGAACACGAGTAAAATCTTAATAGGATTCTGAATTGGGTCAAGGAAAGTTATCTTCAGACCTCGGCTCCTAGTTTTGCGACTTTAGTTTTTAACGAAGAAGAAAGCGAATAACGATAGTCAAAATTTAGCGATGTTTACCAACGAATACACACGCAACGGTTAAGATGCGAGTAGGGCATGTAATATCGGAAGGTTTTCAATTCCGATATTGGATTCCGATATTAGATCTCAATATCGGAATTCCGATATTAATATCGGAATTGAGTTCATGTGTTATAAAATTAATATTTGGTTATATTCGTAAGAATTCTGGATTGTTTACAATAAAATAATGATTTTAATCAAAATATTTTATTTGGTACAAAACAGCACTTCATAAAATTGAAGTATTTTAAAACCATTTTTACGTTATGGGTATCCATTGCATTTGGTTTTTTATATGACAAGAGGCAAACGACCAGACGGATCACCTGATAATAAATGATTACTGATAATGAGCCTATATGGACTAGCAAATAATTAAAGTGTTTTTGTAAAACCACAGGTATCAAACAAACTTTTACTCCTTCATTATTATTACCCTGTTTTATGTTGGCGGAACGAATTTTAGAGTCATTCAAATCACGTGTTACAAAAATTGTAGAGAGTGGTAAAAAACTTGAATATGCTCGAGCATTTGTTCCTTTTTGATTATCGATGTACAACTCACAAAACCACGAGCCATCATCATCATCATCATCATGTCAGCCATAGGACGTCCACTGCTGAACACAGGCTTCGATGCTGATTTTCACAATGGCCGGTTGGTGGCGGTCTGCATCCAGTGCCTTCCTGCTACCTTTATGAGGTCGTCGGTCCACCTTGTGATTATGAGTCCTACGCTGCGCTTTCCGGTACGGGCCTCCACTTCAGAACCTTGCTGCCTCATCGTCCGTCTGTTTTGCGTACTAAAGCAGAACCATTGGAAGACCTTATCACAATGCTTGAAGACCTTAATCGAGTATCCCAACAGGTAGGCCTTCGGATGAATATGGAAAAAACGAAGCTTATGTCGAATGCCCATGTTGCTCCTTACCCAGTTTCGGTTAGGAGCTCGATTCTCGAGATTGCTGACAAGTAAGTATGTCTATTTCGGACAAACGATCAGCTAGGTAGTTAGATGCAATTTCGAGAAAGAGGTAAATCGTCCAATACGAAGACAAAAGTCTTCAATTAGTGTGTGTTACCAGTGATGATATACGGCTCGAAAACGTGGCCTTTGAATATAGGGCACGACGTGCTATGGAGAGGGATAAGCTTGGTGTTTCTTTACGAGATCTAATCAGAAATGAGGAGCTCTGTAAACTAACTAAGGTCGCTGACGTAGTCCGACGGATTAGCAAGCTGAAGTGGCAATGGGCAGGGCACATAGTACGCAGAACTGACGGTCCATAGTCCAGTAAAATTAATGTTTGAAAGGGAGTTGAGACATTGTTCTTTGTTGACCAAGTACCTATGGCAAATGCTAAAATTGATCTAGAACAAGTTAAATTAACCATTAATAGTAAAGATATTAAAAAAAAAAAGCGATGGTGAGAGACATGAGAAAATCATTGGTCGTTGCCAATCATGTACTTTGGGCTTTGTGGCAGGTTGTGGCGAGTTTAAACGCTTTGTTTAAAATCTCAATTAAAACTTTTATCTGATTCCGATATTACGATATTGGGTCGCTCAATATCGGAATTGAAATATCGGATCTCGCAGTCCGAGATTCCGATATTACGAGATTCCGAGATTCCGATATTCATGCCCTAGATGCGAGCAAAAAGGGGCTACATGTAAAATACCTACACAAAATAGTTCCAAACTTTAAATTGATGTCCTGTTTTAGAAGTAAGTCACACAACGAAGTAATTATAAAAATATCATAATTTAGTGTAGTGTATTTCCATCCACCCACATTGTAAATATTGTTTTTATCGCCCTAACTCCATGACATTGTCGTCGACCTGTAAAATTGGTCAGCGGATCTGAGTGAGACGATTGATAAACCCTCCGTCTATTAAACTAACTCTTTGTCCTCAGTCAGTCGTAAATAAAACTTCACTTACGTAAGAGATATACCTACTATCTAAGTAGCATAGTCAAATACCGAAGTAGGTCAAGGAATGTCCTCATCCCGAAGGCGACAGCCAGACGTGCGCTCGGCGAGGCTAAAGTATCGCACGTTATCCTTGTGAGGTCACCACAGCTATGTTACTGAGGACATTTGCATTGACGCCTCCAGCTATAAATCCTGGCCTTAATGCTTGTTGCTGCTTAATGTCCTTAATAAAATGATAAAGTCGTCCAGATAATATTCTGCTTGTTTGTATCGTCATGTTATTGTTATGATACTTTTAGACTTCTTCTTGGAACGCTGAATATGACCATTTGGCTGAGCAATAGCAACATCATCACATCATTAATAAACACCATGAATAATTCGTAAGTTTAGCTTCACATCTAACGATACCTAAAAACGTTTCTGAATACAAAGTAAACGGAATGATGTCAACAATGACTCAAAGTAATCGTTTCAAACCTATAGCAAGAAGGAACAATGGTGTTGATAAGTGTACGGTTGTGTTAAAATTGGCCTTTTAATCATTTATTTGCACTTTATGCGCACAGTGGGTGTCTGACGATGTAACTAGTTATCAATTGTTGTTAGTTGGAAGTACAGTCTTTGTACTTTGATGATGTTATAATAAAAAGGCACTTGTAGTCTGTGAGATTAGTGGAAAGAGTTGGCCAGTTAAACTGGCAAGCGAGCGTTGGCAGGATTATTTACCGCCCAAGCTTATAAACCCCAACGAGGCAGTCTCGGCAACAAGAAACTGGTTGTTACACCTAGTTATTCGAGTAACGCACACAGACGCGTTCTTACTACGTAGTGAAGTGACATCATCGACCGTCGCAGGCGACGCGAAGGCGCCTATTTTGACTTGCACGCCTATGGAATTAGGGGATATAACTTGGCTCTCTATTGCATTATCTAATTAATATTCAAACGAAATTACTTCGTTTCTCCCTCTATAGTCTTTTCAAGGTAGGAATTTATTCCAAATCTTCCTTATTAAACTTGCTAATCTAAGTTTATAAATCAACTGGTACACGCAGACTTACCAGACTCGGATAGAACAGTAACCCGTTTTACATCAACAGTAAACATCAAACATAATAAGTATGTATAATGTATAGGTAATACAATGTACGTCTCGTCTCGGTGACCTTAGAACATTCATTTCCATTTAAGCTGGGGGTAAAACTTGGATGGGGTCCTTCGGGATAACAAGTTTCTGATGTATGGGAATTTTATTATTAATGTTGTTCAGACACATATCGGTTGTGTATTTTTGTTGCAAAATCGGCTTTATTGCAACTTCTTGAGATTCCGCAGTGTAGAGCTTGATATCTTGTATGGACTTAAGTAAATCTCAGCATTCATTTTTAATATATTTGTAAAGAAAACCTATTTTGAGGTTGTCTTTGGTTTATTTTTTCTTTAAGAGTAAAATGTCATGTCACACGAGCATGTCATGTGTCATGGAGATGTATTTTATAAATTACCGATAAAATGTTAATATTGTTTTAAATCGGTTAATGAGACGGAATAAGAGCTTTGAATGTTAATTCTGTTATTTATTTTCAGGTGAGCTAACATTTTATTTAATAGAAAATTGAATTTTGTTTTGAAAACTGTAAAGTTAGGTTTTGAGCAATAAATCTGTTATTTATTTTCAGAAACGCATAAATGCTTTTATTTCGAACAATATCATTATAAATTAACATTCGCTGCAATTATTTCAAGAAAAATGGAGAAGTTGAGATTTGACTTTACTGTGAAGCCATCGGCAGATGGAAAGTCAAACACCATTTGCATTACCTCAATAGGTACACCTGAAGGAAAGGTTTTTGAAATGCCCCAAGAGTACCAACCTGTAAACCTACACCAAGTAATCTGCAATACGTCTAACTATGTCAAGGTAAAAAAAACATTGATCAAAAGACATCAAATAAGGAGAATTTGGATAACCTTGACGAAAGATATCTCAGATGTATATTTGGATGAGGAACAGAATTGTTATTTATTTTCAGAACGGCATAAATGCTTTTATTTCGAACAATATCATTATATTTATTTAGATAATTATATTTATCTATTGTCAATAAACATTTATTTTTTAAATAATTGTTAATGTCAATTACATGGAATTTGCATTGATTATATGTCAGTGTATTCAATGTCAAATTCAATTTATATCTTAAATTATTTTCCTCCTGTGGCAAGCTTCTACTGTAGGGGAATGTGAACAAAATTATTTTATCTACATTAAGTAAACATAAGCTATCAAAAATATTTAGTAGGTCTTTTTTGCCTACATTGCCTTTACAACCATTTACCATTTTGATTTACAACGTTCGTTCGTTCGTTCAATCGCTTGTTTATAATCGTTCCACATTGGAACGATAAATAAAAGGCGCGGATATGCAACAGACTGACTTTAATGACAGGAGGCAAAGACATTACATCTGGCGGCAAAGGCAATAACAATATACAGCCTAGATGGCGCAATAGTCGCCTCAACAACGTATCATCTCTCCCCACCTAATCTACATTAAACTGACTAATACTTAACTAAACTATCAGATTAAAATTACAAACTAAATCGCCAACAAAATCCTTAAATTAAGATATTAAATTATTCTAGTACAGAATTCAAGCGGAGGCGCCTTTCACGGTTAAAGGCACGCAGAGCCCGAGCAGACGCGCCTGGTGGCGGCGCCGGCGAGCTGGTCTCCGCGCCCGCGCCCTCTGCGGCGCCCTCACTAGCCCCCGGCGCTAGACCAGCCGCTTCGGCCTCACCACAAGCCGCGTCGCCGCGCTCTTCCTTAGTTACATCCTCATTTANACGTGTAGACTAGCGAAGCACTAAAACACGAATGAAGTTTGAACGAGCGACCGTTATGACGATTGCTTGGGGATACCAGTTTAGGATTTTATTTTACCCGTGTTATTTTTTTATTACTTTAAACTATTGTGTATGATTAGCGAGTAGTTGCACGAAACTACAATTATTCTTCTAATTTCGAGGAATGAAGCTCGATGTATAATAATAAAACAAATACCTGTTTTTCTGTTTCGGGTGTTACATCGCCGAAGTAACAAGAAAACACACTTAAAACTTGATGATTATCCATTTTTTTTGGGCTATGACGCTATCTACCAATACTATGATAAATACCCTCGAATCATATAGTGGCAAAACGTTTCACAGATTGATAGTTTTTTTTTAAATCGTATTACCAATAATTAGAGAGAAAATGATCATTCAGACAGTTGACATAAGTATAGACTTTGAAGACTAATAACTTATTTCTTTTTACTATATAACAACTAATAAAATTACTTGTTTCTTTCAGATTTTTTTTGTTGCACATTATAATTTGGAATGTTTACTTTCAAAATTCATCAGATTTAACCCTTAATTTGGCAGACTCATTATTTATCAAAAAATAAAAATACATCGTCGGATTTATGTTCTTAGGGTTATTTATAGGTCAGAAAAAAATATATAAAAAATCGGAACTTCACCAAATAGAAAAAAAACAATGTTCATCCCGATGAACACTGCCAAATATATGGAGAATTTTAACTGTTCATTGGGGTGAACATTGCCAATTTAGGGTAGCGGCATTAAATTAAAACAATTATTCATATAAAAAGTAAAATTTATATTATAAAACGCTTTTTGGTGCACAAAATAGTAAGAAAGTGACTATTACCATACAATTTTGTGTGATCGTTGAGGTAAAACAATGTTTAATGTTTTTAAAGAAAAATATCATAATTTTTTATTCATGTAACTTAAAAGTGGACAAGTCGCACTAAATAATAAAAAAACAGCTCCCACATTTATAAAATATATTCTTCAGGGTTTAAATAAAAAAGTAAAAATGATTTTAATCAAAAATATTCTTTGGAACTACAAACTTTGAATCTACAAACAACCGCTAAATTAAAATATGTAATTATTTTGCATGAAAATTTAGAAAACAATTATGTCCACTTCTACCAGTAACAAAACATTATTCTGATATTACATTTCATGCAATATACAGTATTAAGCTGCCAACATCCCAAACAAAATAAAAAATTACTCTAAATAAAGAAATTAGTCCACTGAAATAAAATTAAGCAAAAATAAACGTTTCATAGCCTATTTGACAACGTTCACTGGGATGAACAATCAAAGATTATTAGTAATTTGGCAATGTTCACTGGGATGAACACTCGACTTTGACCTGGTATAACATGGCTTATTTATTAAATGAGCATTGTAAATCAATCAAGTTATTAATCATGAACACTATGCAACACGTTAAAACCCCTGTCATTACTCAATTATAATAAAAAACATGTAAAGCTTGAATAAACACCTTGACACTAAAGCCTGGTCTTCGCTATGGCCGGCATTTTGGCTAAAATTAACACTTTCAGACTGTGACTAGCACATAAAAATATTTTTCTACCAAAACTTAAGTATATTTTCTAGTGAAAAAAAAAAAACTTACCAGAAATTAAGATGNAAGTCGCGAGCAAAAGCTATTTGTAAAATAATTAGACTAAATTATTAAAAGTGCCTACCCAAAGTCATTATTCCACGCGGACGAAGTCGCGGGCACAGCTAGTTACAAATAAATAAAGCGTTGTCCTCAGAGAATGAGTCTTGTATTTTATGTTTTTTTTTTTGTTTTGAACCTATCTGATGTATAGCGTCACGCTAAAAAAGCAGATGTGACTCTACATCGTATCATATCTACACTTTCTAAAAATCGTTACGTTATCGAAATACAATATTATCCTTTGTGTTTCAGGTCCAATCAACTGGGTGTTATCGCTGCACATATTCAAGATCCTTGGCCGTCTCTCATACGCAATGTACATCGTACATTTCCCGTTAATATTTTTGATGAACGCCACTACACTTCATCCTATTTACTTTGCTGTGAATTACTCTGTAAGTTTATCGCAATCAACATCATCATTTTAATTTTCAACCATTGCACGTCCACTGAACATAGACCTCCCTCAATGATTTTCACAATGGCCGGTTTGTGGCGGCCTGCATCCAGCACCTTCCTGCTACCTTTATGAGGTTGTTGATTCACCTTGTGCGTGGACGTCCTACGCTTCCATTTATTACAATATTTGAAATCTATTATGATATTTTTAATGTTTCATATGCACTTATTGAACAAGGAAAATAATTGAATTTTATTTTTCTTTCAGATGTACAAATTCTTTGTGGATTTCACACTGACCGTAATTGCGGCTTTCTGTTTGACCGTATTCATAGATGCTCCTTTGACAAGCATTATCAAGATCTTCTTGGGTGGAGGTAATATTTTTTATTATTCAGCAAGTTTTATATAGAGAACAGCTGAGCACGGCAAGCTAACACACTAGCATCTTACGTCCTTCTAATTGGTTTCATTTTGCAACAAAAAAGTATAGTCTAATGTGATGTTGGCTGTTCTAATCGAATGTGACCCTAACATTAAAAGCTGCCATAAAAATAGTTTCAGGTTACGAAAAAATAAATGTAACTACGGATAAAAAAACTGGCCTTAAACTTTATACAGAGCCAAGAATACAAAGTTTTCGTTTAACCTTAGCTTACCTGCCAAATCTTCTCTCTTTTTTTGCAGGATCAAGACCACCACTAAAAGTGGTACCACCTTCTGCACCGAAAGATCCAGAATTGGCTTTCAAAGCTGTGGACGTAGTGGACAACTCCTTACCAAATGATTACATGGCTAAGACGAGAATGTAACTGACGTTTTTACGGTTACAGAGAAACCACATTGATCTTTTCTCATTATTGGTTTAGTTTTGAAAATCAATATTGATTTTGTGGCAGGAGTGATCTGCAGTTTAATTACCTCCTTTTTATAAGGTTTTGTTTAGAAAATAATAAGTGACAATGATTTTGTACTCGTAGTTGCTTATTTATTATTTGACAATATGACGACGGCACCATAAGTTAAACTGTGGTATCATAAGTGTTATTTGCTTTTTTGCAACAAAATAATAATTATTTTGTCACAATTTGTAGATCTATTGCTATACAATGCAAAATATTTAGTCGTAAGTTTGTAAATATTAAAATAGTTCCTATTTATTTTAAGTAGTTGTTCATTTGAATTTATTGTAATAATTGTAAAAAAAATATTGTGATTTAGTTTTAATAAGTATAATAATAAATAAAAATATATTGTTATAACTCATTGTTATAATTTTATTACACCAAAACTCAGTAGTCTTTACTCATGTGGTAGCAGTAACAATATTTTACAAAGCATAATGAAAACAAATGATAATGATAAAAGTGATTCCTCATTTTCGGTATTTTAAATTGTATGACGAGTGACACTGATAGAGCATTGATTAAAAGTGATAATACTCGTAAAGGTTGGCCCAGATAACCCTATCTCTAATACATTTTTTTACTTTACAAATTAAATGACACCTTAATGTCACGACTAATGCTGAGCCAAGGGCACAATATGACACTCAAAACCATTTTTTGATTTTAATCTTATTATGTATTGTGTGCTAAATAAATTATATTATATTTTTCTATTTTATAAATATACTCAACGTCAAATAAATCGCACCTTCCGCGACGCGAACTTTAAAGATTTTCTTCTGACACAATCATGGCGCCCCAACAATACTGGTGTTATTTGAAAGCCCAAAAAATATCCTTAACCTTTAACTATGGACGTGAAAAAATAATCACACTCCCATGGACGTCGGGTCTCACAGACCCCTATCTAACATTCTTCTTATTTTCATATCTGAATTAATTTGAATTTATTAAAGAGTTGATATATATCTAATAACTATTAATAAAGGATATTTAGTAGTAAATGTAATCAAATTCTTACCATCATTTATTTTTTTTTGCAAATTTTAAAAACTTAGACGTTTTTCAGTGTTAATTGACTTGCCATCACATGTAGGCTCCTTGATTACAGTAGACTATTAATTAATAATAGTAATATTTTTTTCCTTGCTAATTAATAACCATGTAACTTAAAAACATGAACAAAATTTCTGAAGGACATAAAATAAAAATTTTGACAAGGGTTAAAGTTACAAAAATTATACACAGTAGCCTAGAACACTTAAGACAAATTATCTCTACAGGCATGTGTTAATCTTTCTTTGAGAGCTTTGATAGGCAAAATGTACACCATTCAGAATTGGAATCTGCAGCAATGGTGAATTCTAAGACATCTAAACTCAAAGGAAGAATCGTCTACAAGAAATACCTTACTCCTGAAATTTTCTTTAAATAGTTGGGCTAATAATATAGCTAATGTACTCAGATACTTTCTGCCATTATGTATTCTTAAACTAGAACAATTTACTTAATATTATAATAATATAATATAAAAAAAATATAGTTGACCAGTCACATCCATACAAGTATGTTTGTATGGAAATTATAGTCATCGGGTCTCCCAGGCCCGGACAAAATTTTGGATGGTTATTACTCACGTACTAAGTGCCGGAAGACGCGATTTTATGCCTCCTTGGTCCAAACACAGTTAAAACTGAAGCTACTGAGATGGTCGAGAGCAGCACGTGGCGGGAAGGTGTTTAAACCGAGAAATTGGAAAGGGGGGTGGGCCTCTGAGACCCGACGTCCATAGTTAAAGGTTAAAGAAGAAAAAAACAATATTTAATTTCTTAATAAATGATTAACATATTAGTATACCATAAGAAAAATGGCCTCACTTGGGGCTCACCTCTGGGACCAATTAGACCAATTTTTGTGGTTATAAAACCAAATAATGATCTTACGTTTCCTTTTTAACACATGGATAGCGATTAATCCCATTTTAACAGTTTTATAGCCATAAAAGTTGGCTCAAGCGTAATTACCTATTTTTGAAGAAGTGACTCTGGATCCTTCTAAATCCACATTTTTGGGGTAAAAACCTTTGCTTTAATGAATTAATTAAGTTTATAACTAGGCTTTCAAATGGAACCAATGTTGGTGGGAAGTGGGGATGCATACGTTTGAGAAGTGCTTGTAGGGGGAGGAATTGAAATTGAAATTGAAGTGTTGTAATTGAGATACGAATAGGTTACAATATTGATTTTTATTAAAGGTACGGGCAACCAAATATTTCTTAAATTAACATTAAGATTTATCATTATGAGGAAAGTTTCGTATTTTTATTAAATACCTATAACTTATCTGTACCCATGTGATGCCGGGGCGGGCCTCTAGTCTGGAAATAATTAGGTACCTACTTAAGCTAAATCCGATTAGTCGGAACTCAAGGATTAAGCGTGTCTGGGCGAAATTCTCGTCGCGTGCTAATCGCGTGTTTGTAGCATGCGAAAAATTCGCATTACTATGACAATGGAAAAAACTACAAAGGTACAAATTATATCGCACATCGACATGACAAAACAAACGAGCGTGATTTTCACGCGTTGATTCTGTTGGGGAGATAGCTATAGGTACAACAGCTTAAGATGTCCATCCAGAAGGTGAACCGACCTCATAAATGTAGCAGGAAGCGCCTTGCAGGCCGCTACCAGCCGGGCAACATGGAAATTATTAGGAGAGGTCTATGTTTAGCAGTGGAAGTCCTATGGCAGATAGATGAAGATGATTTATTAGGTAATTTATCTGATGATACCTAGGTGTAAGGTCTCGATCTCTTTGTTCCGGCGTTTCTTCTCAGCACTTGCCATAATGTTTGTTTCGAAGCGCTGGTGGGGCCCAAAAGATAAGGAGACATGTACAGTGCCCTACCTACCTACCTTTTGTACTGTATTTTGACGTTCATAAGTGCCACTAGTGGTCTAAATTGAATAAAATATTTTTGATTTTGATAGCCCTGTCTTCTTTTATCTTTGAGCGAAGCTTTTCTTTATTAAAAAGTGCATCACATGCGCTTTGTTTAGAGCTTTTTTAGTTTCAATACAACTTGGACGAAGCGTTTGGTTTTACTACTCTACTATACCTTCTTTTAGTATGAGCGATGTGGGTTGTAAGCTAATAACGATACAATATTTAGATTTTATGGGTATTGATTGACATTTGACATGGCAGTTAGGACCGAAGACCTTACTCCAAAGCATAGTTTCTCTCTGAATACTCATTTTTGATTTTGATTAAATCCTAAACAAATTATAAAAAAACTAGCTGCCCGGAAAATTTCGTACCGCTGTTTATCAGAAATAAGTAAGATTCTATTGGAGAAAAAAAAATCCAAATCACTTCAGTAGTTTCGAAACCTATTTAATACAAGCAAACAATGAAATCAGGAGAGATTTGATAATATTAATATGAAGTATGATTTGCGTGGAAATTGAACCCGGAATCTCTAGTACTGATTGCCAAAAATCCCTCAATAATCTACGATCTAATCAGTGGGCGTATGACCAGCTATTTCTATTATGATAAAATCTACAAAATACCTAGGTACACAGTTTAACTGTTTGGAAGTAGGCAAATCTTTTTAATATGGATCGAGAGTTCATTCTAGTTTTTTCTGTGCTGATCGTAATTACATCTTACTTGTAAAAAATCTTAAATTAAAGAGCATAATCTCTTTAATCTATGACATGACTAGTTTTTGGCCAATACATATTTTAATAATCATGTTTAAAAAGGGAGTTAAATAACAATTTTTAATACTACTGATTACATTATCCATGTCCGAACTTAAATTAATTGCTAAACGAATATAACAAAAGTCAGGATTTGATTAGTAATAAGTAGTTCAATTACTATTTTTTATTGCAATAAAACAAAGCTCTTTCTGAACTGCTTATCTTCGAGACGTCATCATACAGAAACTGTGATGCAAACGCCACGACCTATCTTTAGGACTTCGCGTCGGCTATAATATAACTACATTCATCCATAACCAACCAATGTACTAATCTTAAAATAATGTTTTTTAAGCGACATAATTATCCAACAGTGAACAACATGCGTGGGAAACCAGTTCAGGTTTCAAGGGACACAGTTAATTATTACAGTAGATAGACTCTTTTCTATCTGTTGTCAGACATCATGTTCGTGTGACGTCATCTGCTGACTAGAAAACTTACGTAAATCATTTCTGTGCCATTTTTCTGTGATGCGGATTTTGTTTCCTGTGGGCTACACGCACGCGGAATGGAAAAACATGTATCATGAAATAATGAAATGGGAACCAGATCCACACGCGTTTTTTTATGGGACAGGAGGCAAACGAGCAGACGGTTCACCTGATGGTAAGTGATTACCATAGAAACCCGTAGTCCCGGGGGCGTTACATGTGCGTTGCTGGCTTTTAAAGTGTAGATAGGGTAACGGCACCAGTGGTCAGCCAGGAACCAGTGATCAGCCTATTGCGTTGTTTATTGGCCATAAATATCGCTGTAATCAAAATAACCAAATCACGTGCACTTAAATAGAAGCTCTGTTTCCTTATTGGTTCATGCATCACGCGATAGGAGCGGCAGGGGGTCAGGGGAGAGAAGTAAACACGTTCATACAGGTGCTGTCCGCCGACAAGAGCAGAAGTGTCATGTCCGCCATATTTTTTGTTACACGTGGTGCTCTTTTGAAATGTGAGAAATAACATATTTTAGTATGAAATGTGATTGTGTTTTATAGATAATAACTTTATACATTACTTAGTGCATTTAATTTTATGAAATTTTATAAAAAATATTGTTTTTTTACTTAAAAATTTGAGGGGCTGACCATTGGATACTGATTTTTTATAAAAGATCCAATGGACAGCCCCCGGGGCTGATTACTGGGTTTTTCTATTTTTTTTTAACAGTAAAAGCAAAACGACCCATTAAAACCGTTAAATTTATATTTACATATTTAGTGAGACAAGTATTTCCTAATTGTTAGAAAACCCAGTGGTCAGCCGCATTTCAAAATATTATTTCAAGCGGCTGACCACTGGGTCTCAGTGATCCAGTATTCAGCCACGATGTTATTGAAATAATATTTTAAATATAAATGCGAACATATTATTATAATATTGCTGTTTTTATGATAAGTAATAAGAAGTTCCTAGAAAATAAGAAGATACAAAGAGATTGTAATAGTATGTTTAAAATAATATTTGTACAGGG